GCACCGACACCTTCCTGCAGAACAGCTGTTAGAGGTAGAAAGAGTTGGGTTTCTGGCACCTGGCTGTTGCATTGATTAGTTACCAGCCAAAAACAAAAGCCTGTAGTGGTATGACATGGTAAGCAGCTTCAGACAAGAGACTGCAGTCTGTAAGTGAGCTTAGAGCTCTGAGCCAGAAGGAGCTACTTAAAATTGACAGAGTGCTCTTTGTTTGCTGTGTTGTTTAGAAATTAAGCAATATTTAGAAGTAAATATTGATTCAGAGATCACCAGTTTCCACTCTCCTCTAGCTAGTTCAGCTCATCTCAGGTAGAAAACAGCATATTGCAACACAGTCACAACTTGACACCAAGTTATTTCTCCTAACTAACAGGAAAATGGGTTTGTGGCATTGCCTGTGAATAAACTAACCACAGTGACTCTGGAGTGGGAGCACAACCTCAAAATTGAGGTTTGTGAGGCCTCTCACAACCCCAAGCTTTCAAACAGGAGCTGAAAGCAGGTTTCTGGAAAGAGTACCCAGGTCTTCAGGTATATGAGCAGATATATATGATCCTTGGAAACCATGAGGAATGTACAGCTGGTTCCAGTCCACTGTCGGTCATGAACATGCTTGTGGAGCTGGCCTTCCCATGGCATGGCTTTACGGATTCTACAAGATCCACCCCTACTTAGGCTCTGGAGAGGAATCAAGCTAGTTCCTCTTCCAGGGCACCCCTGGGATCAGGGAGGAGGGGAGGAATTTTCCCCAGAAAATAATAAATAGGCTTACAATAAATAGGTAAGCCAGTCCTGCAGAAGCCCTCTGACTTCACACTGCCCTTCCTGGGCACCCACCATCATCTTCTTCCATATGCTGACATGGACACCTTTGCCAGTTCGGAGCCAGTTTTGGTTCTGCTCCCCATCCTGGCTATAGATAGAGGAGCAGGGAAGAAGTCGTAGAACAATAGCTTCACCTCAGGCTACGGATAGCCTACTCCACTGGCCTTCAGCTTGCTGCAACACGACCTCTGGGGCCAGGACAGGAAGAGAACTTGAGGAGTACTGGTTTACTGGCCCAGTGTTTGTTACCAGCAGACTCCGGTCTTTTCTAAGCCACAACATAGAAATTCCCATTTCTGAGGGGGAACAAGATGTCGTTAGATGAGGCCAGCATTCTGGTGGGTGTATATTGCCCTCTGCCCTAAGTCTATCCCAACTCAGCAGTTGGATTTAATCTTGTTTTTTTTTTTTGCATTTTCAATGCTTTAATCACCTTAATATCTCAAGATGAGCTGGGTGCCTGTGCAAGTGCCAGCCTGGTGTCCCCTGGGAACAGCAGCACTATCTCCAAATGCCTTGGTTGTTAGATAGGAACATCTCTATTGAAATAACTGCTTCAAAGAGCCGGATGAGATGCTTGTGTTGGTATGGTGTCTTGATCACAGCTTTTCTTCTCCCTGGTTAATGTTTTCCCCTTATGCACACACAACCAGAACTCCAATCCAGCCTCCTTTCAGCTGAGAGGTGCTCCGTAGGCTGAGTGCTACCCTTTGGCTCTAGGGTGAATTCTGTTATGGGGAACGGCCAGCACTGAAGTAAAGCAGAGCCATCTCGCAGATGGTAGTGTCAGCTCTAACTTTATCCCAGCCCAGTCATGATTATGTTCTTTCCTCAGGACGTAACTAAAACTCCAATCCAGCCTCGTTTCAGCCATAAACCACAAAGTACACATGTGGTTTTATGGTAATAAGTTTTCTCCTGGGAGATGTAGGCATAAGTAGTATTGCTTCACCTTCAATTTTATTTAATATGGGGTGGAGCCCTGTTCTTTTCTTAGGGGGTCAGATGTGTTTATGCATCAGCAATGGCCTGTGGTTGGTCAGAAGGGTGTGTTCATTTGTATTTCTTCATCATTCCTGTAATTTTTAACAGCATCCTCTTTCTGAAAACAGAACAGCCAGGATCTGTAATGCTGCAAAACAACGAACTTGTGATGTGTAATAATACTGCAACTTGCTTCATGAAGATGTACTGTAGAAGATTTAAGACGATGTGAATAACAAGGCCAGAGTCCTAAAGAGGCGCTGGCCTAGCTCTGTTCTTTTTGATAATGCTGCTCCTGCTTGCATCAGTCAGAGTTTTAACTTATTAACTTCAAAGACAACAAGAATTTCCATATTCAGTAAGAAAAAAGCTTAATAGAAAGAAACCACCCATCACAGCACTGCTATGCCCTCAGCAGATTTGGAGAGAGCACTGGGGATGGAGGTGGGATATTAGAGGAAGAGAAAGAAGCAGTAGGTGGTCCATGTGAAAAAAAGGCTGGGAACTGCCCCATTTGAGCACAGGATCATCTGATCATGTGCAAAACGCAAGATAGTATGGGCTTTTACAGCAACTGCCCCGTGCCATGTGAACAGACCCTTTATGATTTCCATGGTTCTTTATGTGTCCTTCCGCTTCATCTCTCAGGTGGCAAATACCTTTTCTCTCCGGGTAGTGTTGTAACCATATGTTTTATGGAGTCAAAATCTCCACATATTTTCACCCTTATTTACGTGCTCAAATAACCTCCAATAGCTTCTACCTTTTTAGTGACATTAAATTCTAGGCTCTCTTGAGATGTCTGCTAGAAGAGGCACCTTAGAGCAAACCAACAAAAAACTATGGAAGAACCTTGTAGGACAGCTTCTTGTGAGTCCTTGTGTCTCTTGTTCCCGTAAATGGGGGCATTGCTAAGGCTATCCTGAGCTGTGCAAGGATTGGTGAGATCTACAGGACCCTGGGAATAGATCTCAGTGGGATCTACCTATCTCAGTTGAGGAAGACCTCAGAGGGCCACAGCTTCCAAAAGGCTGGCTCTTGTTGTAGTTAATATGGATGGGAGAGTGGTGTTGCCTAGTGGTGGGAGCAAGGCATTCCTTGCCTTGGATACAGCATGTTTGGAGATGCTCTAAACACAAGAAGTGCTGCTTTCCTAGGAGAGCAGAGGATGAAGGGATGAGAAATGAGAACTCCCATGCTGAGAGAATTGCTAAGGATAATGCTGAAACAGCCAACGTGGTCATAGGTGCCTCTCACAACTGTGGGGACCTCCAGCAGCCTGGGGCCACACAGACAATGGGAACTATCCAGGTTCCCCTAAGGGCAGGCTCAAAGTTCCACAGTGGAGGGGTCATTGCCCGAAGGTCTTCAGCAGCCCCTTCCCCCACGGCCACTTAGTAGAGAGATATCCTTGACCTGCCACTGGACTGGTATCTGTTTTAAAGCCATCTCTCCTCCACCCTGCTCTGGCATGGAGCGGCACCTGGCCACCAGCAGGTTTCTGTGCCCTGAGCCAGGCAGGAGGAGGGAGGAGAGTCAACCTGGAATGCTTCCAGCCAGCACTAGCTGAGGAGCAGCCATAGACTGGGGGTAAGCCCGTGGCAGTGCTGCCTAGAGGTTGCATGCAGTGGGAGAGGAAGGGCCTACATGGGAGATCTAGAACATCTCAAAGGGAGCTTGGTGCTCAAGCCTGGGAGCTGAGCTTTACCACTGGGCTTCCTGCAGCTGAACAGAGGATGAGTGTACAATGTGCTCATATAGCTGGTGTCTGCTGCCCCTTGAGACTCATGGGAGCTTCAAGGCAGGTGTTTGCTTATCTACTCCAGCTGTGTCAGCTGTGCATGACTCTGTGGCTGATGGGCCACCCTGGCCTGTGCATTTGGTTTGGGACAGTCACAGATGGTGGGCAAGGGCTTCCTAGGCACTCTTGATCTCTGGTAACTCCTGAACTTGCTGCAGAGGAGGCCAAGGCATGGCTTCAGCTGGGAAGTGGATAATGAAAGCTGTCTCCTGACCCAAGGATCCCAGGCTGAGCACAACCTCCATTTGTAGTAGGGTAGGAAGATCAGCAGCCCATGAGTCCCTGGTGGTGACATCCTGAAATGGGTGGCTGCTTGTTGGTCATCCTAATGAATGGACCCGCTAGTGAATGCTATTGGTGCCAGTGCAGACCTAGTCTCTGGGACAGCACTGTCCTGTAATTCAGCGGTGTTGGACGTACATGGTATGGGTGACAACTCTAGCAGGTGATGGCCAGGGGTGCTGCTGGGGTTTGCGGACTAGCTGTTGTGGTCCAGGAACTCCCATTTGGTGTGGGTGTGACAAAATCTATCTGCAGTTTGTTTTGTAGCCTGCACCATAGATTGGGACATCAAGCCTGCACCACAGATTGGGACATCAAGCCTGCAGTAACATCACAGAGGCAGGCCTTAGAAAAGCCTAGCCATGACCCATTAATCCTGGATGAAGGGAGAGAAACCAGAAGTGACTGCAACTGGCTGGAGAAGGTTTCAGGGGATGGAGGAGAGCAGTACCTATGTGGAGAGAAGGGGGACCACTAATTCCAGCATTTCATCATAGGTGGTGACAAACATTTAGTGATGGGGCAGTGTATTGATTCTTTCTGGCTGCAGGGTGGTATCTAGGTGTCTTTTTTTGGCCTGCTGCAAGGAGCTTGCCAGACTGGCTGTATAGTGTGTTTACTGCCTTTGCACCCTGTCGCCTTTGCCAGGGGAGCGCAAAGGAGAAAGCATGTGCTCAGAGTGCTGCAAGCCAGAGGGTGATGAGCACAATAGCAATAGTTACTGGCAAACACACAGAACTCAGGGCTGGGTCATGTCTCAGTAGGGACTTTCTGAGATTAGGCTGTGCAAGGCAGGGGGTAGGCTGAAACAAAGAAAATAGCCCCTCCCATGGCATTTTAGCCTGCAGGGGAATTCAAATGTTACAAATTAGGAATTTTCCATTTGAAGCCCCTTGGACAAACAAAAAGGGCCTTGCCTTGCTGTGACTCCCACCTGTGACAGGGTTCAGTGCCAAAGTGAAAAACTTCTTAAAAATGGGCTGATCCAGGAAGGGGGGGCGATCTAGGAGCTATTGAGAAACAAGGAAGGACAAACAGTGTTAGGTCATTGCTTCTGCAAACACAGCCAGGACTGTTTCTCTATAAAAGGGGGAGAAAACGCTTCCAGAGCCATCACAGACTTGGAGGGGACAGTCTGTGACCAAGGCTGCTGCACCCCCTCCTTGGCATCTGACTCCCTGGTCAAGTATGAAACTTGTCCTCTCTACTGTGCTGTCCTTCGGGATAGTGGGTAAGTGTCTGCTGAAGACAGTTTTGGGGAATGGAGGAATCAAAAGCTATCAGGACTCCAGACTTCACCCCTAGACCAGGGTGTTTTATAGGGGAATCTGTTGAGCTGCAGCATGTGCCAAACCAGGCAGCTGTTAAGTAAAAAGGAGGACATAAAGCAAAAGAGAATCTGCCAGGTGCCTGCTTTGGCAGATGTGGCTGAGGATCTCTGTAAATGAGGATGGCATTTTTAACCTTAATGACAGCAGCTTTCTCACGGTGCCTGCCATGGCTCTGCCTGCAACCCAAGCTCTTTGAGGCTGGAGGGCGGTCTGCTACTGTCCACAGCCGGTGGCAGAGCAGACCCTCCAGTGAGGAGGAGGGCTGCTTGCCATTCACAGCCCCTGCTGGAGAAGCTAGAGGGAAGGAAGAGCTTGTGAGAGGCGCTCCATTTACACTGGCATGCTCCCTCTGCTGCAGAGGGCAGAGAAAAAAGACCCTTTGGCAAGATGCTGCTGTATCAGGAGAGGTATTCAGTGAGTGGGAGAGAAACTAGAGAAAGACCTCTCTGCTGAGCCTGCATGTGTGTTAGGTTAAACCTGAAGGCAGTTACAATCAAAAGGAGCTTAAAGAATGCTTAAATAATGAAAGACCACTGAGGGGACACCTCCACATGCTCCCCTCTGCTCCTGTACTGCTTCTCCAGAAGTTAGCATGGTTGTTGCAAGGTTCTTGCAGGGCTACTAAGAGGATGGGGGGACTGGAGCATCTCTCCTCTGAAGAAAGGCTGCGAGAGCTGGGCCTCTTTAGTCTGGAGAAGAGAAGACTGAGAGGTGATCCCATCAGTATGTACAACTATGTGAAGGGGGGGGTGTCGAGAGGATGAGGCCAATCTCTTCTCCGTGGTGCCCAGCAACAGGACAAGAGGCAACGGGCAGAAACTGAACCACAGGCAGTTCCATCTGAACATGAGGACAAACTTCTTGACTGTGAGGGTGGCGGAGCACTGGAAGAGGTTGCCCAGAGAGGTAGTGGAGTCTCCTTCCCCGGAGATATTCAAAACCCATCTGGACAGTATCCTGTGCAACGTGCTCTAGAGGACCCTGCTGGAGCAGGGGGGTTGGACTAGATGATCTCGAGAGGTCCCTTCCAACCTCAACCATTCTGTGATTCTGTGATTCTTATGTCTCTGCTTGCTCCTGGGGTGCTGCCCCTTCTTGCCACCTCCTGCTGGTGTACCCTTGGGTCTCCAGGACCTTGACAGCTGTAAGAGGGGAGACTGGTGTCCCACCTTACATCAGTGGCTTGACCTGCTTCCAGCCCTGTTCCACTGTCTCTTTTGCCAGGCTTGGAAAGCTCCCAGACCACCTTTAATAAGTGGTGCTGCTGCTGCAGCTGCTCTTTGCACAGGCTCCCGTATATTTTTATGCCCAAACTGTGCTGCTGTAGACCTGGCTGTGTTTCAAGCAGGTATTTTTCTCCTCTCTTTGCTCATGATTTTGTAAGGTAGATGTCCATCTGTAGAGGCATGCTAGTGCTGGTGGAAGTGCCCTTGGGAGGTCTCAAGTCCAGCCTCGGCCTAGAGCAAAGCCATTGCCAGCACTATATCAGGGTGGCTGTAGCTTTGTCCAGCCAAGACTAAAAGTTTAGAGTACGGCAGGAGGAAATAGGGCTAAAATTTCTCTATGTGGCCAAACTTAGCATCTCCACTGGAAAGAGAGAAGGTGTCTTCTGACAGATTTATTGTTCAAAAGGAAACAAGAGGCAAAATTTCAAAGGTGAAGGAGGAAATGGAAACAGCATAGGTTATTCTGAAGATGTTTGAATGATATGTGCCACCAGGGGCTTGGAGAAAGTAAGCTATGCATATAACCTCTTGGTCTGTACAATCTTATCAGGACGGGGCAGAGTTAAGGTGACGTGTGTACTATGGGCCAGCTAGACTAGTGCTATGAAACTGGCCACATACTTTACTGCAAGTTTCCAAAGTTTCTGGTGTTTAGGTTGCTGAAGTCCTAGTCCACAGTCTGTGTCCACTTGAGTCTTTACTTTGCTCCAGTCTCCCAGAGCAGCCAGTCAGCAGCATTTACTGGCTACTATTGGGAAACCCTTAGAGGAGAGGACTGTGGGTATTGTGGAGTTGGTATGGCATCTCCATTATTGTGTTTGGGTAGGAGGTGGGAAATAAAGAGAGAGTTAAATATTTCAGACCATCTAGCTGCTAAGGAGGTTGTGTGTGGCAGGGTACTGAATATAGTCTGGCTGGGTCACAGATGCTGGCCCTCTGGGTTTATTTGCCAAGAGAGTGCTGCAAAGGACAGTCTTTTCTCTCCCTTTTTTGCAAAACATTCTGAGTTTGATTTCTATTGGAGTGTGTGGATTTGTACTTCTATTCCTGTGGATGCTGCTGTGAGCTCTGGCTGGTTGAATCACGATGCCGTGGAAGACGCCCACACTGACAAAGCTACTGTAAGCCCGTCCTGGGGCCAGGAGTGGTCCTCCTGGATGTTCCTGATGGTGTGCATGACAGCCAAGAAGGAAGCTACCTTCCTGTGTGCCTTAGGAGATGTGCAAGGGACCATGTCCTATGCTGCTGTTTACTAGAGAGCAATGATTGCAGGGAACCAGAATCCCAGAGATCATGTATTCACAGAGATACTGTTTTTCTCCACCTGTGGCCTTCCTTCCTCTCTAAGACTATCTACTTCTGGTTCTTTGTACAGCTCTGTGTTTTTCTGCTCCTCCCAAGCCAATCATCAGATGGTGCACAATATCCCCAGCCGAACAGAAGAAATGCAGTGAGCTAAAGCAACTCATGCAACAAGAGAGCGTTGGATTGACTTGTGTGCAGAAAACTACTTACCTCGACTGCATAACGGCCATTTCGGTGAGTGGTCAGCAAAACATCTGTGCTGGGCACTGAGGATGTTTCAGCAGCCTGTTCCACTTGGAGAATGTTGAGATTTCCTCTGAGTCACTGGTTGTTACCTGTGATCCCACTATAGAGAAGGAGTCACCCACAAGGATCCAGGAGAGACTGGTGTTTTCCCTTATGCATCCCTGCCCTTTCCTTATTGATAGAAATCTCTTTTTGTTTAGAGAAATGAAACAGATGCCATTACCTTGGATGGTGGTCACATTTTTGAGGCAGGCCTTGGCCCCTACAACCTGAAGCCCATTGTTGCTGAAGTCTATGAAGGGAGTCAAGGTATGTTTTCACGCAACATTTTTAAGCCAAGTAGTGGTAGCAAATGGCACAGAAGCCATTCCTTTCCATGCAGTGTTCCCATGTTGTTTCTTTTGGGTGTCTGAGATAGTACCTCCCACTTTCAAATCCCAGAGGAAAAGAGAGGGGGCCAGTCACACCAAATAGGTGAATGCTCTGTTACTAGTTGTGGCCACAGAGTCACTGCAATGGAAAGTGGCTTTGCAAGAGGGCAGAGCCAGTGCTCCATTTCTGCTGTTACCTATGATGAAAGTCACTGATCAGACAGTGATGCAATGGCCATGGAAGGAGAGAGCCACGAACAGCAGTCATGATCTTCCCAACACATGGCATAAAAACTGTGCTGAGTAGAGCCCAGAGATCTTTTGCTTTCAGTGGCCTTGAAAAATGCTGATAATAAACTATGCTAGGCAGCAGAGAGAAACTGTGCACCTTCCTGCGGATAGTCATCAAGATAAAAGAGATTAAAGAACGACAGCAGCATTACCATTACTGGTTGTGGAGGAACACCTGGTTGAGCTGACCAAGGCAAAAGGACCAGGCAATACAGGGTAAAATGAAGGGAAAGATAAATGGAGTTCTGTAACAATCCTATCTGTTATGAGTTAGCTCTGATGCTCCATCCCTACCCAATCTCTGTACTGTCTCTCTTCTCTCCTATGCTTCTCCCGGGAGCTCAACGGACACTATTATTCTGTTTTTGTTTTTATCGCCTCATACAGTCCCACCACATCCAAGCCCCCAACCTTTTCTGGAAGAACCCTCTGCCCTGGAGGTCACCCCGTTTGTATACAGTGTTCAGGATCAAAGCAACACAGAGGGGTTACTCTCAGCATGCTACTTAAGAAATACAAATATTACATTCAAGGCTGTGGTCTGTAGCGCCCCTAAAACTTAGTTGCTTTATCCATATATAATATTTGATGGACTTAATATAATTTCAGAGACTAAATGTGGAATTCTAGTCTTGCAAGGCTTATATGTATGCTTCAGTGGGCAATGGCATTTGGAAAAAGATTTGCCGAAGATTTGCCAAAAGACTTGCAAGGCATCCTTACAGCACTACATGAATGTCTAATGCCTGTCCCGTGACAGAGTATTTTGCATGTGACAGTATTTTCAGGTCACTTGCCACTAAAAATTGTAATGGTTCAATATTGGCAGTGTATCACACCCCTGGCCACACCCACAAGTGTTCAAGACTTATTTGATAGTGCAGCAGTTCATTCTCTGAAATCAGGGGTTTGGTAAGATTTGAAACCAGGATTTCAAACGCTCAGAATTCCTGCCTTTTCAGTGCTTTATTCCTCTTGGTATTGCAGGACCCACAGCCTCCTACTATGCCGTGGCTGTCGTGAAGAAAGGAACAGGCTTCACAATAAATGACTTGAAAGGCAGGACTTCCTGCCACTCAGGCCTGGGCAGGTCTGCTGGCTGGCATATTCCCATTGGGACACTCGTCCGCCGAGGAGACATTAAGTGGGACGGCATAGAATCAGGCTCGATCGAGCAAGGTGAGGTGGGAAAGTATGAGATAAGTGGGGCGATGTTAAACCAGTGGTGGTGGTGGTGAGGTGAAAGTGATATTATATGATCTTCTGCAGAGGTTCAGTGGTGATGCACAGAGCAGCTGAGTCATTTACGTTCCTGATCTTGCTTTTCCTCCTCCTCCTCCCCTTCCTCCCTCCCAAATACACTAGGATTTCCTTCATTTTGAAATATCTCATCTTACCCCCAAGCACAAAACCTTACTGTGCTCCACATAGTTAAGTTTGCTAAACAGTTAATGCTCCATCCTGGCACACACCCCAGGAGGGAGAAAACTGAGTCATTAATAGAGTCAGACCTACCACTGAGAGCTCACAGCCTTCCCTAAGGTATGCCTTCCCACCATAAACCCTTCCAGGTCCTTGCAAAACTGAGTTTTGGAATAATGATTGCATGCTTCTCTTCCACAGAGGTAGCCAAATTTTTCTCTGCCAGCTGCGTGCCTGGTGCCACTGAGAAAAACTTGTGCAGTAAGTGCAAGGGAGACCCTAAAACCAAATGTGCCCACACGGCGCTTTATGCTGGATATTCTGGAGCTTTTCTGTGAGTGAAAGTTATTTTTCTTTGGGGAAATATTCTTGCCCTTACACATACAAGTTTTTATTATGCTAGGGACTGCTGTGTTGTAATTGGGGGTCCAGATGAGACTGAATTTACAGAACAGCTGGGACTCTTGGTAATGGAAGATTCAATTTGTAATAAATGGAGCTCGGGGTCTCGGTAGGCAGGAGATTAAAGAGGCAGCACTCTTGAAATCCCTGCCAGCACAGCTTTTTGGGAAGATTACTGCTCTGTGGTGGCAGTTTGTGCTGGAGGAACTTGGTGAAACAGGAGCTAGGGAATCACAATGTCTGTTTTGTCTAACGTCTTTTCTGCTTCCTTCCACCTGCAGTTGTCTGAAAGACGGAAATGGAGAAGTGGCTTTTGTAAAACACACAACTGTTGAAGGTAGGCCTGTAAGATCACTCTGTTTTTTCCCTTCCTAGTCCAACCTCTTGCTGGTACTCCATCTTGGAATTCAGTCTACACTGTGCCCAACTCCATTCCTCTCCAGGTTTGCCCCAAACCTCTTCTCCATTCATCTCTAGAAACGTTTTGCACACTAGATTTATTAGTTGACTAGCTCATCCTTTTTCTCGAAAAATATGACTGTGATGGGCTCTCACTCACATGGCCCTTCTTTGAAGAATGAAAACCTGGAAGTTACCTGCTTGATTTAAGCTCAATGACATAATTTGAGCCGTAACACAGAGCCAGCTGTAGTGTTTTCAGTGCAAGGGCAGGGTGAGCAATTGCACAGATAACTACCCAGTCTTCCTAGAGCCTTGCAGTCTTCTGGGAGAGAGTCAGTTCTGAAAGGAATTTAGCCCATACAGAGAATTCACTAACTCCACACCTTTCAGAGAAAGCAGGTGGCCGTGCTTAGAGCACTGCCCTGGCACTCAGGGGACCTGCAGCGAGTTCTGTGGAGGGCCACCAAAATGGTCAGGGGGCAGGAGCACTTGCCCTATGAGAAGAGGCTGAAGGAGGAGGGTTTGTTCAGCCTGGACAAGAGATGACTTCGGGGGGACTTCATAGAAGCCTGCCAGTGCCTACAAGGAGGTTTCCAAGAAAACGGAGCCAAGATCTTTACAGAGTTGCACAGAGGGAAAATGAGAAACAACAGTCATAAATTGAAACAAGAGAGTTCAGACCAGATACAAAGAGAAAATGTTTCCCAACAAGTCAAGCAGTGGGACAGGTTGCCCAGGAAAGCTGTGCAGTCTCCTTAGCTGAGTCAGTACAACAGACTATGTGCATGTCCTGGTCTGTTAAGCATTTGAATGGCATCTAGCATACTAAAATGTCTAGAAACTACTGCCACATAAAGAAATCACCCTACTGATAGTTTAATTATGACAGAGGCAGAGATAATCTCTTTCTCAGGTACATGTATTTTTCTGTCTGCATTGCCTTCATATGACTATGATCTGTCTCTCCTAACAGCCATATGCTACCATTGCAAAGGAGGTGTGGGAAACTGTCAAATGAGAAGAATTTGCAATTCCTCTGTGCTTCATCAGGAGAAAAATTCATTTTAAAGATGCCTTAGATTTTATTTTTTGTTGTCGTGTTGCAACTTGCGATTCGTGATTCCTTCCTTCCTCTAGAAAACGCCGCAGAGGAGAAGGATAAGTACGAATTGCTGTGTTTGGATGGCACCCGGCAGCCTGTGGACAACTATAAAGCCTGCCACTGGGCCAGGGTCCCTGCTCATGCTGTTGTGGCTCCCCCCGCCAATTTGGAGTTTTCTCTCAAAAGCACAGGTAGCATAGAGCTTGCTTTCCTTCCCCTAGCATCCCTTGTTTTGTCCCCTGGTTTTGATTGGTCTCTCCAGCTTTTCAAGCATTTTGATGTGGTCATTTTTCCCTTGTGGCAGGAAAAATTTGGTGTTGGAAAATCCAGTGACTTCCATCTCTTTGGGACACCTGATAAGAAGGACCTACACCTCAAAGACTTGCTTTTTAAAGATTCTGCAAAAGAGTTGAAGCGAATCCCACCACTGACTGATTACCAGCTCTATCTGGGCTTTGAGTATTACAGCGCCATTCAGAACCTCAGGAAAAGTAGGCAGGACATAGACCATGGCCAGTGGCCATGAAATGCTAATATAGTGTCAAGGGAAACTGCAATGAATCTGGTTGCTGCTGTAGGATTTCAATAAGCAGTTGCCCCTGATGCTGCAATTTCTTCAATGCTGTCCAAATTCTCCTGTCTCAGTAAATCCCTCCCTGACCTCCCCACCTGTATGACCCCAGTGCTCTCCTCCTTCAACGAGAGGGGGTTGTGCAGCATCCCCTATCCTGGACCGAGAGCATCTCTGCACAATGAGCTGTTCTGAAAGAGCTATGGGATATTGCCTGTTTTCCTTCACAAATTGTCTGGATGCTGTCAGTAGACCAAGACGTGTTTGCAGAAGATACTTGGAGGAGTGATCAGCAAATCTGTCTAGGGAAATGGGCACGATTTTCTCAAATGTAGTCAGTATTGAGTATTCTTGGCAGTCAGTAATCAATATTCTGTATTTCCTATGAAAAGTATTTGCGTGTGTGGCTGGTAAGGTCAAAACTGCTCCTCAGAAAAGCCATTTCTGGGATGTAAGAATACAGAATTGGAAGGAACATCCCAGGACATCAGGCTCATTCTCAACTATTTGAGGGAAACAGTGTCCTTTATTTCCATCTAGACTCATAAAGTATTTACTGACATCCCAGCTGGCTCTCTGAAAGTCAAACATCCTACAAATGACCTCCAAAACCCACTTAAAAAGTACAGTTTTGCAGACAACTCTGTGGTAGTCTCAGCCACTATGGCATTTATGGGAGAGGACTCATGTAGAATCAAAACAGATTATTCAAATGCTGCTTCATAGAAACATAACTGAATTGTGTTTTCCCAGACTGGTCTTACTCTCATAGCTGTCTGGGCTGTGAGGTCTGGAGAAAAGCTGAATATAATATAACTACCGATACAAAGTACTACCAATGCGTAGTGATTTAGTGGCTGTGATGTCTTAGCTAACAAAAATCTGAGCAAATGATCACGGCAAAGTCCTTTCTAACCAGTAGATGGAAGCTGATTTTTGAGCATCCTTCAGCTTAAGAACTAGGCTCTGCTAATGAATCATCCTTATACACACCTTCTGCTCAGGCTAGTCCAGCATTTATTAAACAAGATCCTTTTGCACTGGGCAGTGGCAGGAGGTGTGTGTATGCAGATGGCTTGATGTCCCAGTCCCACTCACCCAGAAAGTAGCCAGTTTGTAGCTTTATTGTTTAGCAGAGCTCTAGGCTTATTCCTTCTTTCTCTGCTGTTTTTACAGAGCAGCTGATTCCTACCCCCAAGCAAAACAAGGTCCGGTGGTGTGCAGTGGGTAAGGAGGAGAAGAGCAAGTGTGACCGTTGGAGTGTGGTGAGTGGGGAGGTGGACTGTGCTGTGGGAGCCAACACGAAGGAGTGCATTATTAAGATCATGGTAAGGCTTTTTCCCTTTTCTTCTCCCCATGACCCTTTCACATGGCCCCTCCATGGCAGCAGTATTGCCTCTTTCAGCCTGGGAATAGATCTGGTAGAGACTATGAAAGTCAAGTATTGGAGGAAAGGGAGTTGTAAGAAATACCAGTAGGCAGAAACCAACCTCATCATGGGGAAAAATGCTTTGATTAGTTTTTCAACTCTTAACATTTTGGAAAAACATATTTAGAAATTTTGTTCTTTCATGTTTTCTAGATAAAAATAATTTGCTGATGTAATTAAAAAATAATTTTTTATAATTTGTTTGTAATTTTAAAAAATAATTTTCTGATGTGAAATAATTCCTCATTTGGAAAATGAAGTTAACTAGTAAAATATAAAAAAGAAAATGAAAAAAGAAATATTTCAAATGAAATGAAATTGTTGCATTGGCCTGAAGATTTTTTAAAAATAATTAGTTCAGAAATGTTTTTAGATCGACTGGTTTAGATGCCTTGTTCCTGTCATTTGCCTCTGTAGGTTTATACTGAAAAACAATCGAGTTTCTGAGATCCAAATAGGAAAATGTTTTTATGCAGTCAACAGATCATATTCTCAGCTGCAATAACTCCATGTATCTCTGCAGTCTTACCTAGTTTTGTACCAGATGAAGATACAGTTCCTAGCGTGTTTGCTGACAGGTCAGATCTGGCAAACTGTCTGTGAAATTCTTCAGCCCAGCTTTCTCTTGATTGAGACTGTGCCCTGCCTGCTGATCCAGCTGGCAGTGCAAACGCTTTCATCTTGGAGGCCAAGGTCTCAGGCTATAGATATTGGCTATTTTTGCAATTTCCTGGCTCATTCGGAGAAAGACCATTGCCCTTCTAGAAGAGGAGTGGGTCCACAGTACAACTGAGGATGTCGGTGGTAGTTCAGGTAGTTGGGTCAGTTGCATGGTATTTATATAGCCCAGAATACAAATGCCAAAGGTGAGGTCAGATAAGCATTTGGCACTGCCACAGGCTAGGAGAGCCATACAGTCTGATACTATGAGTGCCTGGGGATGAGAACTGCTGGTGGTGGTGGTTACCAACACATAGGGGTGATAATTTCATAAGTCCTTCCTTTTGCATAATCTGTTCATATGCTAAGGAATGGCCTCTCAGACCCTAAGGCCCCTTAGCCCCAAGCCTTTCTCCCTCACAGCAAGCGCTTCTTTTATGATCTGATTTTTGAAAAGAGCTGTTATGGGTAAATATGGCATCATTTAATCAGTGGGTGGTTTTCATTGCAGAAAGGTGAAGCGGATGCTATTAGCCTAGATGGAGGTTTTGTCTACACAGCTGGTGTGTGTGGCTTGGTGCCAGTGATGGGAGAGAACTATGATGGTAAGTATAGTCCGGATTGCCCCTCTAGCTCCAGTTGATGGTGAATCGACTGGTGCAAAAGCACTGGTTTTATTCTGAAATCTAGAAAGCAGCCTCAGTGCTACAGGAAATACAGGGAGCACTAAGGCAGCTCTGCTCGCCACTGCATGCCTTGCCTTCCAGTGCAGGCAGTGGAACAGCCCCGAGCGTGACAGAGAAAGGGCATATAAAATCAGGCACACTGAGCGCTATATCTTCTTCATTTTATTGGTGATGCCCCTGTCCTTTAATATCGGTCTCTGTAAAACTCGTTGTAGTAACTCAGAGGAATGGATGGAGGCTATGCTTTGTTTTATTGATGCACTAGGTACTACCTTCAGTAGTCACTTCTAGAATGAAGTTTCTTTGGAAATTAGTAAGCTTGATTCAGTTTTGTATTTGCCAATTTTTTATTTAAAATCTTCTTCTTTTTCCTTTTCTCAGATGAAACTCTATGCAGCAAAGCAGGAGAACCAGGTAATTACTGCCACTAGAGGGACAGAAAATAGTCCTGATTGATATAAGTGGAAAAAATATCTATATAGTAATGGGTTAAGAATAAATGGCCAGTTTCCACACAAGTAGTCTAGTAAGAACCACAGTATCCAATGTAGTTGTTAAAATCTGGAATACAAATTTATTAGTTTAATGGAAAGCATGGATCTGCAAGCAGATATCAAGGCAAAGCATGTGGTAGTGGCAGAGATTTATGCTTAGTTGCTGCTGTCTGAAGAATAGTCATGCCATAATGTTGAAAAAAAGGGAAAGAAGGCCTGGGGTATAGAATTAGGAAGTTGTTTTTATAGAAATAGAAATGCAGAAGGGAGGGAAGGTTTTGTCCTTTGCTAAAGAGGGGATAAGAAATCAGAAGCCATGCACCACGTATGTCTTGCCATAGCCTCTTGTATAACTGTAAAACAAAGTACCAAAATTTGGTTGGGGGAAAAATGACAGGGATACTGATTTCCCAGAGGCACTGTCGGAGTAGATGCATCACATCTGCAAACTGCTCCGTTGCCTCTGGGTGACAAATTATTTATGAGTACAAAGTATTCCTGTTGCACTGTTCATAGATGTCCTCTGCTCAGTGGGACGAGTGCTCCCCTGAGGGAGCACTGTGGGATCTTCAGGATCAGTCCTGGTTCAGCTGCCAACCTCCCATTTCATTCTCTTCTCTCTCTCCTAAAAGCATCTTATTTTGCTGTGGCTGTTGTGAAGAAATCCAACAGGGATATTTCATGGAACAATCTGCAGAGCAAGAAATCATGCCATACAGCTGTTGGGAGAACTGCTGGCTGGAACATTCCCATGGGCTTGATTCACAACAAAACTGGGAATTGCAATTTCGGTGAGTCAAGTTTGGCATCCTTAGCAAAGGATGCAGCTATCTCAGAATTTGAGAACAAAACTATTTTCCCATCCCTCTCATCTGATCCTCAAAGTTTATTGTGCCTCAACGATTCTAACTTGGAGATAGGAAATGAAGAAGAGAGGCTTCAGTAAACAAAGTTTCAGACTAATAATGACTGCTTCAGAATAAGATAGGGCACACCACCAGCCTCAAGGAGAGGCTGATCTCAGTTCAAGAAATATGGAAAAACTGATTTGACTCCCTGAGAATGATGGGCTAATAGTCTGCTTTGACTTTGGGCCTTAAAAGATTGTTCAGAAGATCAACTTCTACATTAAGCTTTCAATTTGGAAGGCTGTTTCTGTTCACAAAAGTGAGAATTATGGTCCAGCAAAAAAAAAAAAAGTTCAAATATTATGGACCAAGACAAACTAAACATATGGTTATTATAAGGAAATGTCTAACCTCAGAACATACAGTGTTAGTGAATAAGTAAGTTTTAGACTCAGTCCCTACATCCTTCTCTGAAATCCTATCTGTTTTTCCCACTGTCCCTTTGTCCCCCAGATCCCTGGTGTTGCTGCCAAATGCAGTTTTGCCTCTCCCTAAAGGCTGAGGAGGCTTGGGTTGGCTCAGTGTGAGCTGGAAATGTTTTGCAGAAAATATGTTCGTCTTTTTATGTCAAGATAGCGACTACTGCAACGGAGCCTTAGGAACTACTGTATTATGAATAACAAGACACACACAAGTGACAAAAGCTTCCTTTAGGTTTCACAGTGAAAACATGATGCATGTAATTTGCTGTCCATTGACAAGATATGCTGCTTGTCATGGCCTGTTTCCAGCTCTCAGGGACTACTAATACAAATTCAGCACGAGAAAGTATTAAAAGAAACCTCAAATGTTCAGGCTTTTAAAAAATGCTTCTGTTTTGAATTCATGCAATTTAAATGATTGAAAACCCTCATAAAGCTTCACAGTGTATGCTTGAGGTCACTGAGGCTTAGAGAAAAGCATGAACAGGGGAAAAAATGTGCAGCAAATTGTTCATATCCTTCCCTTCAGACGAATACTTCGCTGAGGGCTGTGCTCCTGGGTCTCCTCCTGGCTCCCGACTTTGTAAACTGTGCCAGGGATCAGGCTCGATCTCATCAAAGTGTGTTGCCAGCAGCCACGAGAAATACTATGGCTATACTGGAGCTTTCCGGTAAGTGGTGAAACTGTTCAGGCCACTCTTGAGTAGCCTGGGGCTGATCAGAGAGGTTATGGTTAGATCACATAGGGAGTGCAGCCCCACGTCAATGCTAGTTGGCTGACCTTTTCTTTTTTTTCCATTACATAGCTGAAGGTATATATGTCTTGTGATATTACTTATGGAAGCTCTATGTTTTTTCTTTATGCAGGTATCTTCCCCCTTCCCCTCACCTCTTCCTCAATGCAGTTGCAAAATGATGAAAAATGTTCCTGTATAATTAACTTCTTGGTCCCTCCAGGCTAACTAGGAGACACCAGCATTTTGCCCAGACAGCGATGGTATTGCTATGTGTTAATGAGGAAGGAGGAGTGTTAGCAGAGGGAGACCCTCAAACAATGCAGCCACTAGATGCTCCATGTTAAAAATGCTGCTCACCTTAGTTAAAATGAACCCTCCTGTAAAATTAAAAGAGGGAAGTGAAGGGACCAGAGGCCAACCACAATTCCATCTCCTGCGTATCCTTCCAGTAACAGCTCAAGTCACAGTAATTCATACCGGACCTGAATTTAAAAGGCGAATGAATCTTGTTTCATTTACAGCTAGTAGCAAAGAGATCACTGCTGTATGGCAATGCTTCAGGGTTTGCAGTCATTTTGGTGCAAGAGAGACTTTTTACAAAGGTATTAAAACATGCAGCCAGGCATGAACACTGGAGAAAGCAAAGTGAATTCTGAAACCGGCCAAATGGCCAATAAATGGGCCAACTGGCAGTAAAATAAATCAGCTATTTATGATGCGAATAGGATGAATGTTTTTTCCCAAGTGTGGCTTATATTTTCCTGCTAAATTAATGTGTCAATCGGGCATGCTGTAACAGAGTCATGGGCAACGTTCAAAGACTGCGCTCCAGACAGCCTCAAAATATTCATGGCAGGGCTCCTAGATGGAATCTGAAGGAAAGGACCAGGATTCAAGCAGCTACAACACGCGACTTTCTTTGTATTTGCAGGTGCCTAGTTGAGCAGGGGGATGTGGCCTTTATTAAGCATTCAATTGTCGAGGAAAACACTAACGGTACGTGGTTATTCTGTCACATGGGAGAATCTGGAAGTAAATGCAAGGCCAGGTAGACAGCAAACCCAGTGAACAGAGGTGGCTCCAGGGAGGAACATTTTGCTTTGCTGGTGTGAATGCCCCTGCACTGCCTAAGCTGCTTGTGAAGGATGGGGACTTGGCAGGACCGCCTTCCCCCATCTCCATTACTTTTGTTTCCAACATAGACAATAACAGCAATCTTTATCTGCTTGTTCTGCCGATCTTAGCCCTCACCCAGGAGTAGCTGAACCAAGCTTCAGCGCACGCTGACTGCCCGAAGTGGCTGTTCCCATGCATTTCTGCAGGGCCCCCACTGACCATCATTTCATTTCTGCTGTCCAAGAATTCAGGTGGAGTTAACCACAGACTCCTGCCTTGACACCTCTGTGCAGTCCTCTAGCTGTCTGCACTCGCCACTCGTCTGAAACTTGAAAGTTCAGTTCACTTTTCTAAAAGCAGGGCTGAAGTTTTCAAAGCAGTATGAAAAATGCAGACATATGCCTTTTTAATACACTGACTATTAAGAAAGGAGATTTAACTAAATCTCGCAGCCTGCTCTGAGAGTCTGACTTACCCCATTGACTTTTTCTGAATTTTACTTAAAGCGCTTCTGTACATGTCAGGTATCCAAGCGTCAGTGCTTATACATGCAGTGAAAAATCAGGTGTTGTGAGGCTGACATGCTTCTGCTATGCAAGATCTCTGAATCTTCAAACCAATTCTCTTTGAAGGTGCAAATACAGACGAGTGGGCTAAAAATTTGACAATGGACCAATATGAGTTGCTGTGCACTGATGGGAAACGGGCAAATATCAGGGATTACAGGTCCTGCCACTTGGCAAAAGTTCCTACTCATGCTGTGATCTCACGTCCTGAGAAAGCAAGTAAAATCCGTGAGCTGCTGGAGGGACAAGAGGTAAGTACTGACCGTAGAAGAAATGTTCTGCGTTTGTTTTTTGCACTGCATGTTCGCATTTTTACAGCAATGATGCTCTGAGTTTCAGAGTCAGTGAAATGTGAAAGATTTTGATTGATTGATACAGGGTCACAGCTCTGCATCTCCATATCCCTTAGCTTCCTTCTCCTTCCATCCTTTCAGATCTGTATTGTCTCCCTTGCCACCTTAGCAAACACCCATAGGTAAAACCTAGATCCCACTGGGTGCTATTGCCACACTAAAATTTTGAGATGATCACAGCTGCCACCTCCTTCTGTAGCCATGTCTTTAAAAAGAGACAGTCTGCTCCTATACGTGTGTTTAGGAAACTCCTCTGGGATGCTTGGTCTCTAATCCCCCTGGGTTTAGGCATGAGGCAGGCGTGGAGTTGCGTGGCCCTGGGAAGATAGCAGTCTCCTTGCACATACAAAGTATTTCATCTACTGGTGTAAAGGTAACCAGATTAAACCAGCTCTCTGGCTTTACACTGAAAATGCTGAGATGAGCTCCACCATCAGGGGCTGTTAAGAGGCACTTTGGAAGTCAGCTCCTTTTGCTTTCAACTCTTGACTGGCAGCAACTGCAAATGGGCTTTGCAATGCACTGCGTTAAAACAGAAAAACTGGTTGTTTTGGCAGTCAGGCCACAACTGCAATTACCACTGAGAGCTCAGCCATCTAACCACATGGGCAGAAGATTAAGTCCTAAATTTTTGGAGCTTGACTAAGGGCTTTCCAGGATAATGAGTTCTGCACGGTGAAGAACTTAAGACTAAGAACTAGACTTGTATCAGGCTAATTCTTGCTTTCTTTTTACTTTTTGCATGCACTTATTTTTCATGCCTTTATTTCAGAAATTATTTGGAGAAAAAGGAACTGATAAAGACAAGTTCATGATGTTTAAGTCTGAGACCAAGGACCTTCTGTTTAAAGACTTGACCAAGTGTCTGGTTAAACTCCGTGAAGGAATCACATACAAGGAATTCCTGGGAGATCAATACTATTCTTCAGTTGCTAGTCTCAATACATGCAATCCATCAGGTAATTGTAACATCTTCAGGAAGAAGTCAATGAAATGCAGTTCTTAGCCTCACAGATGTGGAGAGTGATTTCTGTTGCTGTCCATTTAATTTTTTTGAAGCAAAATGAGGATAACTCATGAAGATGCCTACTTTCCCAGCTATTTAAATGAACTGAAAATTGACTCAAAATTTGTTGCTCTAGCATCAATAGGAATCAAAGATTTTTTACCTATCTTTTGAAAATATGCAGTTTGTGAAACAGTAAAAGAACCCACCCTGCCCTGTCAGTGCATGTTCACACTGACCTGCGGTTAATACGCCTTAAAGCTAGAAACTGAGAGCTCATATTTCACCCCCATTCATTTACTGGCTTTCCACATAAGCCTCTCCGTGCTCACTGAATACTTGGTGATTTTTAATTACTTGAGCCAGTGCCCTGGTGTTACAGTCCCATGAGTACATCTAGTCTGCTAGGCACCAACTCATGGGAACTGTTTCAGGGAAAGATCTGGAAATTAAACATACATCTGCAAGCTCACCACCCAAGTATTCCTGCACTGTCCCCTACAGGGCTTCTGCTTGCTTAACATACAACAAGAACAGGTAGCAATTCCAGACCTTGCTCCGCTCCAGTCAGTCGAATCAGTTGGGATTGGGGGAGTTTTTCTGTGGTACGCTGATATGTTTTCCATGCTCTGAAGTTTTTCCCATGGTTGCGTGTGTTCTAGGGGAACAGGAGCGGCTGTGTGTTTCCTGTTCAAATGAGCTGCAGGCACGGTCTGAACTTCTCCCTGTTCTTTCCCTTTTCAGATCTCCTCCAGATGTGCACCTTCCTTGCTGACTAGTAGTGGTTTGTGAGGGACCCTCGTCAAAAGGGGAGGAAACTTTGAGCCAAGACTCTTCCTTGTGTCCTCGGCATTGAACACCTACTACTCACAGAGGACCTTCTGCCTTTGCTGCTTCCTTTACCCTTCCACATCATTCTGAAAGTGGCTGTTCGAAACTTTACAGCTCTCTGCTGCCATCACAGCAAGAAATAAAAACTCAAAGTCTAAATGGGTTTTCTGAGATTTTTCAAAATATTAATTAAGCCCATTCCTTTCCCAGTACCTCTTGCTGTGCCAGATACCACTTTGGCTGTTCTCATTTAAAGCTATTGGAGAGATTTTTTTCAACATTTTTTCAAAGTAAAATGGATTAAATATACTTTAGACCCTAATTAGCAATGCTTTTACCTCGAGTTATCCCAGTATTCTAGGCAGATGACAGTTGACTGGTGTGGCTGGCATACAGGAAGAGTAGCGGAACTGAAGGGTGGAGAAGGAAAAACAAAAGAAAAGAACAAAAAGATAGCAGTCATAAGAGGGAAGGTGTGAACATAAATACCTCCATCTTGTATCTCAACTGGCTGGGTCTGAATAACGCAGACAGCAGAACTATTTCCATCAGGCAGCGCTCTCAAAACACAGTACTAAGCTTAGACTTCTTTTTTTTGAACAAGTCTAGGACTTATTTAGAAACGTGTTTTGGCAGTTCACTCTTACGTGCTGCTGACTGGAAAACAAACAAGTAGGTGGATAGCCTGATCCATGATGAAAATAAAAAGGCAAGACTAAAAAGGGCCTGCTGAGGTTCTGTGCTTCAGAGGAACAGAGACGGAAACAAGCCATCAGGTCCCACCCTTGAGGTCAAAGCAGGCATGGCAGAGCTGATCAGATTGCAGCAAAATGCTAACAGCTCTTGATTTTCAGGGAATATTTTGATGGACTTGCAGTTATGATCTCTGAAAGTCATATGGTATGTGTTGTGAAAAGTCCTCTAGCCTAACTGAAGATTGGCTTAGAAGACAGAAACGTAGAGTGTGAAGGGAAGCAATGAAATTCGGTCCTTTACATTTATGCAGGATCAAGTACATTGGACAGATGGCTTGTTTAACCTGTTTTTGAGGACTAGCAAAGATTACACAGTATGCTCTGAATGTTTTTGTGTATTTATAGAGCTTTTTGTCCTTTATGTTCCTTGCTAATCAAAACTCACTTTAGACCTTACGCTTTCTAAATCTGTATCCCACAATTATGCTATCTGCACTACTTTTTTCATGTGCTCCACTTCTTCAATTTTTCAGTGTTTTATGTTCAGGTAGTTAAAGAGCTCAGTCAGGAGTTGTGCAGTTTCTCTCCTTTCTTTTCAATGTCTCGTTGTGCATTTAATACACGCTCCTGCAGTAATGGCCAACATGCTCCTTCACCTCCTAGACTACAATGACCCATGGAGTCTGCATCTGGGTTTGGGGACCGTTTTGATGAATCCCTGTCCTACACCCACCCTTGTAACAGTAGTTGCTCCTCTTGTTCTAAAAGTTTCCAAATGCATATTCCTCAGGCAGCAGAGAGCCAGGATGCCATTGCTGCTGCATGCAGAGGGTAGGATGAGAAGAGATCAGCTAACGGCCAGCCTTACTGACTTCCCAACAGATACTGGGGGAAATTGCAGTTTGTCATTACTAATCAATTCTATCTTTTGGATGCTTCTCGCGAGCTGCCCACAGCAGCCTTGTCCATCCGCCTCCTGCCAAATGACCAGTTGGGCACCTCTGCCCTGGTGCTTCGCTGGGCCCTGCGCATCCCCTCTGCGTGCGCGCCGGGCCCCCTGCGACAAGCACCCAGGCCTGAAGCGTGAGGCACCAGCTCCTGGCTTCCCCCTCAAGACCGCTGATGTCGGGAGCCCTGCCACACCGC